CCAGGAATATGTGATGCAAGAAGGGGGGTTGAGAGAGTGACTGGGCTGACCAGGGCTGGGTGCAGAAGATTTTCTGGAGAAGGCGAATCTGGACCAGATTTTTCTCCTGAGGAGGCAGGGCCTGGGAAATGAAGGGGGTTGTGGAAAGAGTCCCTTGGGAGTTGTGGCCCCTGATCTTTCTCTTACTCTGAGCTCTTTTGTTTCCTCTCTTCCTTTCCTCCTCCTCCTTCCTCTGATTGCCCAGCAGGGCATCTGCCCTGGGTTTTTGAACTCAGTGGGTTCAGGGGCACCCTTACCCTGACCCCATTCCACTCACATCCCCCTTACATCCCCTTTGGCCCTTTCAGGTCCCGGGCCTCCTCTGAGAGTGAGTTGGATGATGAAGGCCCTTGTGGTGGTGATGGGGACCCAGGCCTGTTCCCCTTCCCCCTGCCCCGGGGTGGGGCCCAGGCCTCCAGTGAGGAGAGTGAGGAGGAGGGGACATCTGATGACCTCCACCTCCCCGCTGACTGCCATTATGCAACCCGGCCCCCTCGGCCACAGGCGGTAAGGACCTGGGGCAGGGCCTGGGGTTGGGGGTGGCCCAGGCCTCCTGGCCCACAATATGGGGAGGACGTCAGATTCTGTGTGCAGGTGCCCTCCCTGCTAACCACATGCCTGCCTTCTTTCAGTTCTGCACCTTTGGGAGCCGGCTGGTGAGCCCAGGATGCTATGTGTTTAGCCGCCGGCTGGACCGGTTCTGCTCAGCACTCAGCTCCATGCTGGAACGGCACCTCAGCTCACACATGTGGAAGTGAGTCTCTTGGGCGCAGAACTTCCCTTCCCAGGCCCCGCACAGACACAGGCTTCAGAAGCCCTGATCCTGCACACATACCCATAGGTGCCTTGGCTTTTGCCAGGAAGATACCAGGCAGAGAGCTGGATGGAGAGGAGATAGAGAGACTTAGCATCCTGGGGCTAGGCTAAGGCAGGGCCAAGGTGGTCTGGAGGTGAATCCAGACTCTGTCAATCCCTTCTAGTATTTTGTTGGATAACCAGAGATAGGGCATGTCCAAACAGATTTAAAATGAGGTTCTTAATGGATCTATGGACTGTTCACATACTATATACTAGTTCATTCTTAAGGAGCCCTGGTGGCACAGTGGTTAAAGTGCTCGGCTGCTAACCAGAAGGTCGGCAGTTCAAACCCACCATTTGCTCCAGGGGAGAAAAATGTGCAGGTCTGCTTCCATAAAGATTACAGCCTAGGAAACCCTATGGGCAGTTCTACTCTGTCCTGTAGGGTCACTATGAGTTGGAATCAACTTGATGGCAGTAGGTTTGGGGTTTGAGTTTAGTTCATTCTTGTTCCCGTGTCTTCTTCCTGATTCTCAGTTCCAGCATTTCCCAGCAGATGGCACCAACTCTGGGGCTCTGCAGGCCATTTCTAGGTGGGGCAGAGGGACTGGTGTATATTTCTGGGGAAGACCTCTTACTTGCTCGGTAGTCACAGTGGGGCTTTCTTTTTGCTGCAGGAAGATCCCACCGGCGGCTGAGCCTCCATCCCACCTTGCCAGCTCTCCTCTGTCTGCCCCCCTGAGCCCATCCTCCATGGGCAGCTGCCCCCGCCTTTCAGGCCCACCCCCCAGACCTTCCTGCCCATCCTCCACACCCCCTACCAAGGACAGCCTTGTCCCCAGCTACCCTGCAGGCTCCCCCAGTGTGGCAGCTGCCTGTAGTCAGGCGGAGTGCATGGGTGGAAGCCAGGCCATCACCTCACCACTGCCTGCCAACACGCCATCCCCGTCCTTCAGCAAACTCCCGCCTTCCAAGGCCAGCAAGTCGTCCAAAGGCAAGGATGGGGCCGAAGTAGAGGCCCCTTCTCGAAAGCGGAAGTTATCCCCTGGCCCCACCACTTTCAAACGGACATGTATCCTGGAGCCCACTGGAAAAGGCAAACCCTCTGGCTGCCGGGGCCTCTCTTCTAAGACTAAAACAGCCCTAGGCATGGGGCTTAATGGGACGGTGGGGCCAAGGGTGAAGCGGGCAGGGCCCCTGGACTGTCAGGGTACCCCTCACCAGCCTTCCACACCCGTCAAGGCTTCTCAGCTGGAGAACCGGGGAGCGGCTGGACACCCAGCAAAGGCCCTGCCTACCAACTGCCTCTCTGAGGAGGAGGTAGCCAAGAAGCGGAAAAACCTGGCTACTTACTGCCGACCAGTGAAGACCAAGCACTGTCAGGCTGGCGCCCCTGCCAATGCAGCCTGCTCTGTGCGCCGTAAGAAGCCGGGCCCACCCCTGGCCTTTGAGGAGAAGTGCTCCACACTGAAGGTACCAGCCCAGCTCCCTGAAGAGCATGGGCAAGGAAGGGTCAGAATGGGTCAGGGTGGGGTGCACCATGCGTAACTGACACAGAGAAAGTGCTAAGTACATATTTGTGCAGGGAAGGGAACAAAGGGGAAGTTCCTGGGCCATCTTCTTTAGGGAGAGGTGGGTCAGCTCTTAGCAAAGTGACGCCAGCTTTTGCCTGATGGGCTTTGTCCTATCCCCAGCCCTCTCTCGGGCTAAGGAAAATGCCGCCTTTTTTCTACTCTTGGTTTAACCAAAGGGCCACTTTTTCCTGAATTGGCTGTGGCCCTCCATCTAGAAACTGGAGCTACCTGTGTTCTCTGAAGAAGAGGCAGTTCAGCTCTGTGAGCTCTGATAGGAAGGGCTGGGGCAGTGGGGTTGAGTTTGGGCCCCTGAGCTGTGGCCTAACCTGCTCAGCAGCAGGGTGGGTGTACCAGTCTTGTTCACTGGTTCTACCTCTGGCCATCAGGGTAAGGAAAGGTTGGGACACAACTTAAGGTCCAGGTATACATGTATGCATGCCTTACAAATATGCCTACTTCTAGGTTTTCAAGTGCCAGGCAAGTATTCAGGGGCTTTTGGTAAAGCCTGCAGCCAGGTTTATTTGCCCCTGACAGGGGCCCTGGAGTAGCATGCCATGGGCTATCCATATGATCTCAGCCGGGAGGGACTTACTGAGAGTGGGAAGAGGGGATGCTCTCCTGGTTCAATCATGGGCCAGATGTATACCAACTGCCCTGGCACCCGTATGAAAGTAGTGAATTTGAAGTTCCCCAGGGCTCAAGAGTGTGTGTGTGTGTGTGTGCGTGTGCGTGTACGTGTGCGCGCACACATGCAGGTGTGTTTTCCAGCTTTCCTATCCAGGCTGCCTCTGCCAGACTGGCATTCATCCTTGCCCTTGCCAAGCCTTACTCACCAGGACAGCAGGAGGAAATCAAAACCTTAGCCCATATGGTCCACACAGTTCACTGGGTAGGAGAACTGGTCAGCCCCACCTGACCCTGTCTCTTGCCTCTTGTCTTCCTGCAGTCGAAAGCCCATTAACGAGAAAGTGCCTGCCCACTGCGACGGAGCCGCCAGCACCTCCTCCCTTCCAGATCCGGGCCCCAGGCTGCTGCCGCTTTTTATAACTTTATATTATTTTTTTTAAGAAAAAAAAACTCTTTAAAATACCTCAAGACTGTCTTCCTGTTCTGTTGCTGCTAAGAAAATATAAAAACAGAATCATAGAAAAGGAAGGAAAAAAATGTAACAAAATGAGTGTCCTTACTGTCCCCTAACCCTACCCTGGGAGGCTGAGATGATAGGCCGCCAGACTCCAGTGTCCATCACTTGCCTGAAAAAGTCTCTTGTGCTCTTTCTTTCCCCCTGCCCTTTTGTCCTTTGAAACAATGTGGAAATGGCTGGGATTTTTTATCCTCGTGGGGAAGGGGTAGGTCATCTCTCCATATAGGATAATGAGCGTGGCTGTAAGGGAGCAAGGCTCCCCAGAATCTTGATGCCACTCTCTAACCCTCTGTGCCATTCATTTTGTGGTAGAGGCTGACCATTCTGACCCCAAAGACTACTCTGGTCCCACTGGGAAAGGAAACTCGACAGGGTAGATGAGCCACACCTCTGGCTCTAGTTTTTGCTCTGGGGGTCTGTAGGAGTCAGCTTCTGGCCCCTTTCTGGTCCTCCAGCAACACTCAGACTCCATCCTGTCTGAATTTTTGCCTCAGTTTCTTCAGTCTCCTTCCTGCTTCCTACCAGCAGCCTCATTTCTCAACCACTTAGGGAGCTTGAGCAAGTTGGTAAATGCTCTCAGGACGACCCTGATTTCTGTGGGACGGCATGTTTTGGTCTTTCTCCCTGGCCCATGGATTTGCCCTTAAGGATGGGGTAGAGCCTCTCCCAGGTGAGCCTCCTTGGGCTGAACCACACCTTTTTGGAGGCAGGGAAGGAAAAGGTATAATTTACAGAACTCTCCTTGGTTTGGGAGGCAGCAGGAGTGTGGGAGGCCCAAGGTCCCTCAGGGTCACCTGGCTCCCCAAGGCTGAGCAGCTGGTGTGGAGGCGGCAAAGGGCCGAGTGTGCCCTAGTTCCTCCATTTGTCTTAACTGGGGACAACAACTACTGTGAAGATAGGGGATAAGACTCTTGAAACTACCTCTTCTGGTCCTCAAACTCCAGTTCACAGGTATAGGGCACTATTTTCTGGCCTTGTACTCGCCTTTCATCTTCGTTGCTTTTGGGCAGGGAGGAATCTTGTTCCCTTAACCAGACAGGGAAGGGGATGGCAAAAGAGGGATGGCAGCCGGAGAAACCCAATGACTTCTGGAAAACTGCTCAAAACGCGGTTGGTTTCACACTCTGGTTTCAGTGTACCAAGGTTGTGATTTGGATTTTCACTGAAATCAATTGCCATAAATGTAATTTTCACAGGCCTGCTTGAGAACCAGGCCCTTGTAGTCATAAAGGTACAAATGAGGTTGGCTGAACAAACAAGGTGGGCCTAGAACTGTCCGCTCCCCTTCTGCCCTCGGGGCTCCCCTGGAGTCGGGCCTCTCTCTTAGGCCGACGCGCTTCCCCCCCGGCCTCCAGGGGGCGCTGTGGGCGAAGCCGCCGCACTGCCCGTGGCATCCCCCGGGAGGAGCCTCTCTGCAGCCGCGGCCGCCTCCGCAATCGCAAACCCGGAAGACGCGCTCCGGCAGTTGGGAGTGTGCGGCTGGCCGGACACGGCCATGCAGCCTCTGGAGGTAGGTCTGGTTCCTGCTCCAGCGAGGGAGCCGGGACTGACCCGCTGGCTGCGGAGAGGCAGCGGGATCTTGGCGCACCTGGTGGCTTTCGGCTTCACCGTCTTTCTGTCTGTGCTGTCCCGGCCAGGAACCAGTGAGTGTGCGAGGCGGGGCCGAAGAAGGGGGCGGAGCCGAGATGCGGAGGGGCAGCGCTTGAGAACGCTAGACTAGGAGAGGGGACTCCAAGCTGTGGATGGGCGGACTGTGGAGGGCTTGTAAGGGCGGGGTGGGGCGGGAGCGGGGGAGAGGGCCATGGATGGGTGGGGCCTGGGGTGCTGGAGGGGGAGGGGCAGACAATTGACTAAAACTGAACTGACCAGTTCACCATAAGCAGAGCCCCTGATGGAGGATACAAACAAGTAAAGGAGGGAGACCAAGGCCCTTTCTAGGACTGAGCTAACAGCTGAGAGGTGCCAAATGCGGAATCCAGGCCAGACTGGTTTATGTTTGCAGGGAGGCTCTTTTGTTTGTTCACCGTAAGGCCCTTGGCTGCTCCACTTTGCCCTGAGTTCCTGATTAGGGTTGGGGATGGTACCCTCACCTTTCCCCTGTGGCCAGATTCTTTGGGCAGGAACAATGGTGACCGGCCGTCAGCCTGTTCTCTTTGATTCTCAGGTCTTTTCTCCTGGCACCCTGTATTCATGGCCTTGGCGGTGAGTTTGGGCTTCTTTCCGCCGCTAATTTGTTTGGATATGCCTAGCTTCACCCCTAGGGAAGCATCCAGCCCTTAGAAGACTCAGTCTTTCTAACACCCAGAGATAGGGGGGAAACAGCTAGGGCCCCCTCTTTCCCTGTAATCTGTGGGACTGGGAAACATGGAGGACTGGACCATTGGTAGTGTCAGGTGGTGAAGGGAGTGGGGATTTGGAAGTTATTTCTTTCTCTACTTGGGCTTGAAAAGAGGAAGGAGAAGAGGTGTTATGCAGCCCCACCCCGCCCCAAAGTTGAGGAGGAAGTTTAACGTTTGTGATTTTCTCGAGAAATGGGAGTCATTGCTTACAAAGGTTGAGGGTGGTGGTGTCAGCCTGAATGGTGAGAGTTCTACTCAAGTGTTGATTCCCAGTTGTTCGTAGAAATGCTGGCCTGTCAGACAGGAGGGCCTAGTGGATGTTCTTTAGCCCCACCCCTTGTCCTCCTTATTTGGATATACGAGAGCACCTCCTTTTTCTCAGGCCTCCAAGCTGGACCTCAGGCTCACTGGCCCTCTCCTGTGTTCACAGTTCTGCCTCTGCATGGCTGAGGCCATCCTACTCTTCTCGCCTGAGCACTCCCCGTTCTTCTTCTGCTCCCGCAAGGCTCGGATCCGGCTCCACTGGGTAGGGCAGACCCTGGCCATCCTCTGTGCAGCCCTGGGCCTGGGCTTCATCATCTCCAGTAGGATTCGCAGTGAGCTGCCTCACCTGGTGTCCTGGCACAGCTGGGTAGGAACTCTGACATTGCTGGCCACTGGCTGCCAGGCACTATGTGGGCTCTGTCTCCTCTGTCCCCATGCAGCCAGGGTCTCGAGGGTGGCTCGCCTCAAGCTCTACCATCTGACCTGTGGATTGGTGGTCTACCTGATGGCTACAGTAACGGTGCTCCTGGGCATGTATTCAGTGTGGTTCCAGGCCCAAATCAAAGGTGCCGCCTGGTACCTGTGCCTGGCACTGCCCCTCTACCCAGCCCTGGTGATCATGCACCAGATCTCCAGCTCCTACTTGCCAAGGAAGAAACTGGAAATGTGAGTTCCTCTGAACTCTGAATCCAAGTGAGACGCTTGTCTTGGACTTCCGTGGTTCCTTTGATGACCTACAAGGGACCCATTTCAAAAGTGGTAGGGTTTTTGCACTTCTTGGCTGGGCCAGGTGCTGCAGAAACCTGAGCTACTATTGCAGAGGTGAAGACACAGTGGGCTGAAGTGGGGAAATGTGTGGAGTGCGAGTGGAAAGTAATGCAGAGCTTGAGCCTGAAGCTTCCTCCAGACAGAAGTATGCGGGGGGTGGGTGATGGTGGTGGAAGTCATTTCTTGTTTGCATGCCTGATGAAGACCTGAGTTCCTGTAAGTTATAAATGGCAGCTATGGGTATTTGGGTCACTTTTGAGAAAGCAGTGTGGTGTAGCAGAGAAAGCCCATGGATCTTGTTACAGGTTATGGTTCTCTTAGGCTCTGTTGTGTGACCTTAGGCAAGTCACATGTCATAGGGTCTCAGGTTCCTCATCCGTGAAATGAATGTTTCTAAACAATGTATAAGTCCCTTCTATCTCTATCATTCAGTGTCTGTCAGGTTGATGTCACAGAGCACCCTCCCAGCTCTGGATCACAGGCTGGACCACTTGGCAGACTCAGGATGTAAGTCTTACATTTATTCTCCTCCTCTTACCCCCCTGGAGGGACAGTTCTGCCCTTGTGGACTTTCAGGAATCTGTTGATTTGGTCCCTGGACCAAGGCACAGGGGGTCAAGCATTGTGGAGAAAAGGGGCCCAGGTGAGAGTCTCCTGGACTCCAAGACAGTAAAGGCACTAATGTCACTTTAAAGCTTTTGGGAGAGCAGAAGGGCATTGGCTTAACCAAGCCTCCAGCTCCTGGCTGCACTGATGGGAGAGAAGATGAGCCCAGCTAAGAACCTCCTTCAGCCCACCTCACAGAGGTTCCATCAGGATCTGGGCTTGAGAGCTGCAGGATCTGGGTGTGCTCCTTCCCCTGATATTCACTCCCAGAGGTGAACAGACCAGGGCATCTCATGCCTTGCCCTTCTTAGGGCTCAGATTCTTGCCTTAGCACACAGCTTCGTGAAGCTATTCTGAAGTTTTTAGAACAAAATAAGGGCCAAGGAAGTGGGGCAGGGCTCTTCTTTCTGATCCAGGGAAAACAAAGTACTCCTGGTTCCCCTTGTCATGTAGGCTTTCCTCAGTTGTGAGTCTAGCCAGCTCTTTGGCCCAGGAGGAGGCTGAGTTTGGTGCCAGCTGGCAGATGAGGGCTGGGCCCTCTTCCCTGCAGAGACCCCCCTCCTTGTTCCAGATGGAAAGTAGTTTGCCAGACTGCCCTGGGCAGTGAGGGCTGGATGCCAGGCTGGTTAACTGTGGTCTGGCTCAGTCAGGAAGATGGGGCCTCCATAGATCATGGCAAACTGAAGACAGCTGAGCTAGGAAAGCTGCTGTTGAGGCAGGTAGAGATAGGGCAGTGGAGACAGCTCAGTGGAAGCTCTAGGAGGCCTAGAGTGTAGGTGTTGGAGCTCTAGTTCCTGGGAGCAGCGGGAGGTGTTCTTAGATGTCAGTAATTTGGATATTCTAGGTCTTTGGAAGATTCGTGACCTCCTCTTTGGGTAGCTCAGAAGCAAGGAGGTTAATATGATCCAACAGTACAGGAATGGGGACTACACAGGCAGAAGTGTCCTAAGTGGACCTCACTGGGCTTCTCCTGGGTCAGATAGCATTTCCCAAGAGCTCCCTAGACCCTGAACGTCTAAATGGAGGCCCCTGCTGTGCAGAGGGTGATTGTTCCTGTTCTCTTCATTGCCTTCTCTCTCCTCTCCAACTGTCCAGTGTGGTCTGAACTTGGAAGAAATGGTTATTGAGGCTGCATGGAGGAGTCTCACCTAGGGTCACTATGATCCAGGGATTCCATCTCCTTTCCCATCACATCTCCGTCAGGCCCAGTGCTGGGGGTCTTGCCCTGTCTACAGCAGGGTGAAAAGCCCAGTTAAGGTTCACCAGCTAGTTCTGAGAACCAAGCAGGCAACACCATAGAGTCTGAGCCTGTCTGAGGTGTCTCCTCCCAGGTGGTGCTGGGGGCCGGTGGGCGGGTGGGTGGGCAGGCAGGCAGGCAGGCGTGCTGACAGCCGGCAGTTTGTGTGGGCTGTGCCAGCTGATGTCTATTCCCAGCCCTGGGAGGAAGGGGGAAGTCATTTATATTCTGCGGGAGGAAGGGGCGCCTACTGTCACCTCTCTGACCAGTGGGCCTGGAGGGCAGGGTTACAGGGCAGAGGGGAAGGCACAGATCTCCTGCTTAGCTGTGTCTCACTGCTGTACGGGGAGTAGGTCACCAGGGGGAGCCCTTCTTTCTGGCAGACCAGACTGTGGGAGGACTTCCCTTCCCTCCCCTCCCTTCTTTCCATCTCTCCCTCCATCGCCACCTGCCCTCACATCCTGGGGCAGCAGCTGGACAACCATTAGACTTCAGTGTCAGGGCATTCTTCCTCCAGCTGAGATCACAGTGGCTGCCGGCCACAGATGCTTGTGTGTTTCCTCCTCCTTACGCACCCCCCTCCATCCCTCCACCTCCTTCTCTCTCTCCATCTGGGATGTTACCTGGGCTGCTCAGCACTGAGGCAGAGGCCTTGGGAAAGAAGCAAATGGCTGCCCTTCTGCCCTCGTCCCTGTGGCTAGGGAAAGCTGCTAGTAGTTAGCCTGTTTTGCCTTTTAAAAAAAAAAGCCAGGGTGCTCAGATATTTTAGTTTGCATATCATTTGCACACATTTGCATGCCAGGTTTCACTAAGTCCTGATTCCAAGTATGATTATATTCAAAGTCAGCTTTGAGGATACTGTACATATAGGTGGGATTACCATTCTAGATCCAGATGTTCCTGTCAAGCCCGCATCTTTCCTGGAAACACCCCTTCCCTTGAGCCCCACCGTGGCCTGGGGTGGTATTGAATGGCAGGAGCTCTATGTCTGGGGAATTGCCCCAGCCTCACCTTGGCTCTTCAGTTGTGTGGAAGGTAGGTTGCTATCTCTTGCCAGCCTGTGCTTCCTCTCTCCCCACCCTCTCACCAGGCAGGCTACCCATCCCCACTCCCTGACACTGGCCTCTCATTGTCCCCACCCTTCCACCCCTCCCC